CCCATTTCCCCCACACGCACACGCACCCCCCAAATAAAAACGTGAATACGTTTCCACTGAGTTGCTTTATAACAATTATTTTTCTCCCCCACCCTCCCCCTCCCCTCCCTAGCAGCCAGTTCCTGATCGTGATGACCTACAATGACGCGGTGGTCGACCAGCGAGGCACCGGAGAAGGACCATGACTCAGTCACATGTCGCATTCACACCGTTCAGGAACCAGGAAGTGTTTTATCCTCGGCTCTTTTGTCGAGCCGTACCTAGGGGTGGGACAGCAGTCGAGTCTGGACCGGTGAAGAAGAAGCAAGTCTAGTTGTTTTGTTGCTTGACTTCGTTGGGATTCCGTTGAAGTGCTGGGATCGTTATCTGCCTTTTTTTTTCTTCTTAGTTTTCTAGTAGCTGATTGGTGGACGTTGCTTCTGTTATCGCTGGATCTTCCTTCTTTTTTTCTTCTTAGTTTTCTAGTAGCTGATTGGTGGACGTTGCTTCTGTTATCGCTGGAGGGATATCCGGGGAGTTTTGCTCACATCAACTTGTCGCTCCTGGGATATTCTGTATATAACACACAGATACTTCACAAGGGATAAAGAATAAACCTTCTATAGTTGTATAACATAGATTCTCACATAGAATAAAGAAAAACATCTTCTATAGCTCATAGCACAACTGATACGTTAGATACAGCAAGGACAAGACAGCCACCAAGTTGTTTTTGGAATTTCCCTCGGGTGATATCGTGTTGTGGTGTTAAAGAGTGACAAGTGTGTTTCAATGTTAATAACATACTTACAGCTCTTCTGCAGTAAAATCTCTTCAGCGAGTATTCAATTTCACAAAGATCTCAACCCTATTTCTGTAAGACAGGACATATACTTTTTTAAAAGAGCAAATGGAGGCTCAGTCTTGAAATGTCAAGAATAAGTAAATTGTGCAAGTGAAATGTTTTAATTCAGCAGGACGACTGCTTCACATAAATCTGATGCATTTTGTTTAAGAAGAGAAAACCACAAACAAATCTTCCAGCATGTCGTGTCTCTTTTTTGCTGTCCACGAAACTATAAGTACAAGAGTCAAACTGCAGACTCGTTAACTAACAAAAACACATCTTTTTAGTGACAGAAAGATAGTAAAAATATTGTTTCCATTCCACCATCGAGTCAGCAGCTAGCTACAAGATCGTCATGCATCGCTATGGGTCATTGAAGCGTTGAAGCCAGATTTATCGATTCATCCAACTGCAGTCGAAATTGTCTAAGACGGCCACCCGTTGTCGAGGAGAAGAGTGGTTGTCTTAAACAGGTGGAAGACATAGACAGTGTCATTATTGTTTAAAAAGAAAACTTTAGGGAAGAACCGGGAGTGTTCGTTTATACTGGTGATTTTCTTGGACAGGTGGCCGTTAGAGCAGGTTGGACGGGATTCGTTTACGCATAATATTACAGTATTTGAGCAATATCGTCGGCACACACCTAAAACTGAGTACAATGTCGAAAGCCAGAGCCCCATCTACGTCATCAGATGACGTGGACGACCACGCGGCCACTGCTGTGGTCAAGCCGGCCCTCAAGTACCTGGGCGAGAGCCAGACTCTGGGCTCCATCTTCCAGGACGGCTCTGGCCCCCGTGTGGTCGTCTGCGACCAGTCCAGCTTACGCCACATGGACCTCACCGGCAACAACATAGATCTGAAGCAACCGTTTCTCCTGTACCAGAAACGTTCTGTGCGCAAGGCCAGTGCTCACAGTCTCATGTTTGACAAGGACAATCAGACTTTCCAAGTAATCGGGAATCACTTGCTCATTCCAGAGGACTATCAGGGTGAGTTTTTCTCCAGGGCACACTTTTTGGGTCGGGAGGCCACCTTGACTAGGCCATAAACATCAGATTTTGTTGTTGTTGTTGTTGTGGTTGTTGTTGTTGTTGTTGTTGTTGTTGTTGTTGTTGTTGTTGTTGTTGTTTTAAATGTAAGTGTTTTACGCCCCCATAGACACAATTTAAATAATTCAAGAGGCAAGTTTCCGTCTCGAGCTGAGAGGGATACAACATCCCAGAAAGAAGATCGAGATACTCGGGGAAAACATATCCCCACTCTTGAATCGAACTCAGGTCTCCTACCCTTAACTGCAGCCCCCCAGACACCGATTTAGTAAGAGTTTTACGGCACTTGCAACACAAATAGGTCGTATAGGAGCCGAAGCTTAAAGGTTTTACCAGAGACAAAGAGAAGGAGGAGGAGAAATGAGGGCGACATTATTATGTTTGATATGAAACAAAGAGAATACCACAGCAGAGCGCTCGCCAACCGACCACTATTTATACCAACAACGAAGGGCCGCACCTTTTTAAACTTGACGCGGTGCTCTAGGTAACCTTTTTGGAAAGGAAAACCTAGCAAAATAAGGACTGCAATACTATATTAGCCTAGATCATCCTTGGAGTGTGTGCTATAGAGGTGATCTATATTATTATTATTATTATTATTATTATTATTATTATTATTATTATTATTATTATTATTATTATTATTATTAAATATTATACGGGTGTGAGATTTTGTCCGTGACCGCAATCGTTATCTTTCTACTACCGCTTGATGTAACTGTTTCCAAGACACACGCTATCTATCTATCTATCTATCTATCTATCTATCTATCTATCTATCTATCTATCTATCTATCTATCTATCTATCTATCTATCTATCTATCTATCTATCTATCTATTAGTCTGTCTATCTGATGTCTGTCTGTTTATCTGACTGCCTGTCTGTCTGTCTGTCTGCCTGCCTGCCTGCCTGCCTGCCTGCCTGCCTGCCTGCCTGCCTGCCTGCCTGCCTGCCTGCCTGTCTGTCTGTCTGTCTGTCTGTCTGTCTGTCTGTCTGTCTGTCTGTTTGTCTATCTGTCTCTCCCTCCCTCCCCCTTCCTCCCCCCTCTCTCTCTCTCTCTCTCTCTCTCTCTCTCTCTCTCTCTCTCTCTCTCTCTCTCTCTCTCTCTCTCTCTCTGTGGGGTAACAATTTCGATTGTAAAGCACACAAAGCATGCCGATGAGCGGGAATAGTTATATATAGGCACTGTACAAATGGTGTTTATTATTATTATTATTATAATTATATTATTATTATTATTATTAAATTATTATTATTATTATTATTATTATTATTATTAATGTTGTTGTTATATTTTATAATCAGTTCGCCATTTATATTATTGTTATCATTTTTTAAATTATAATTGTTGTTATTATTATTATTGTTTTTGTTATTGTTGTAGTTGGATTTTTTGGGGGTTATTTTTCATTATCATTAATTGTTTCTGTCGTCATCATCATTATCATCATCATCTTCATCATTAGTATTGTTGTTGTTGTTGTTGTTGTTGATGTTGTTTTTTTTATTTTTTTGTCTTTTATAATCATTATCATTTATTTTATTATTACATGTATTGTTATTATTATTGTTATTATTATTATTGTTATTATTATTATTATTATTATTATTATTATTATTATTATTATTATTATTATTATTATTATTTTATGTTTATTGTTATTGTTATTGTTATTATTATTATTATATTATTAGTTGTTGTTGTTGTTGTTCATTACGCATTCCCTACCCTCCGGGGTGGTGCCACTGACTGAAATGTCTTTAAGCCATTCCCAAGTGCATTTTCTTTCCTAATCCTTACTATTGTCATTTTCCTCTACTCCTTTTGTATGTTTGTCACACTCTTGTGACCCACTATTTCCGGGGTGCCTTAATGATAGTCGAAGCAGATTTTGTGGTGTTGAAGGTAAAGAGGTGGGCAGAGCAAGTCTGATTCCCTGTAAAGACTTCTCTGTTGACATCCAACCTTTGGCGCTCATATGACCTTCTGCAGTTGCGAGCGCCGTAAAACCTCTACCAAAAAAAACCAACAACGCATTCCCTGTGTAATCCCCTCCCAGGCTACTTCGCTGTGCTGGGGTCCCTGGACGAGATACCAAAGGACCAGGTGGTCCCGTACTTCCGCCAGGCGGGCAAGCTGGCCATCTCTCCCTGTACCAGTTTTCTTATTGGAGGTGACCAGCCGGTCAGTGCTCTCATGGTGAGTTGGATTTGCTGTTTGTTTGTCTGTCTGTTTGTTTTTTGTTTGTTTGTCTGTTTTGTTGTTGTTGTTGTCGTTGCTTTTGCTGTTGGAAGCTTAGAGGAGATCCTACCCTTAACTGCAGCACCACAGACGCCGATTTAGTAAGAGTTTTACGGCACCTGCAACTCAAATAGATCGTATTGGAACCGAAGATGAAATGCCAATCTGTTGATTGTGGGTGGTTGGCGAGTGCTCTGGTGTGGTTTGCTCCTTTTTTCCTGTAAACATCTATCGTCCTTATCTCTCCTTCTTCTTTATTTTGTGTTTGTTACTCTCTTGTAACACATCTATTCTTCGGCACTTATATGACCTTATTGTGTTGCAAGTGCCGTAAAACTCTTAATAAAACTTTTTTTTCATCTCTTGATTGGCTGTATGAGAATGTTCAGCTTAGTTCAGAAAGACATTAAATTATAATAATATTATATTAAGTCTGTATAAATACGCATGCATAAGTTGATGCACGCAGACGACGTGAGATAGATACCATAGTGGGGAAGATTTGTCTTCGAATCAAGTAGATCACAATATAATTATACCGCTTGTTTGAATGTTTGTATCGTACTTATTCATGGGGCTCTTACTTTTATTACTGACTGACTATTACAAGCCTACGTATACACCTGAGCAAGTCGAAAGTAGTGAAGCTAGGAAAAGTGTCAAGCCCTGCTGTGACAGTGGAAGATAATCCCCTAGAAGAAGTGGACTCCTTTACCTACCTTGGAAGTGTCATCGAGGGTAAAGGTGGAACTGAGGCAGATGTAAAAGCAAGAACCACCAAGGCAGGGTCAGCCTTCAGGCAATTATCAAAAGTCTGGAAAACAAGCAACATCTCACTGCCCACTAAGATTCGAATCTTTAATTCCAATGTCAAGTCTGTACTCCTCTACGGCTGCGAAACTTGGAAGACAACAAAGACAGTGCTGAATAAAGTCCGGACTTTCATCAACAGATATATGAGGAGTATCCTAAGAATTAAGTGGCAGGATAGAATAAGAAACGAAGAGCTATGGGAAAGGACAGGACAAAAGGATATAGAAGTAGAAATAGGACTAAGAAAGTGGCTTAGGATGGGACACACCTTCAGAAAGCCCAGCGGAAACATCACAAAACAGTCACTGCACTTGAATCCACAGGGAGCACGAGGCAGGGGTAGGGCACGAGAGACATGGAGGAGATGTGTGGAAAGGGACATGAAAGAGATGAAGCTCACTTGGAACGAGCTTGGAAGGATGGCCCAGGATAGGGATAAATGGAAGGAGCTTGTATGTGGCCTATACCCTGCCAGGGGTGAAAGGCATTGGTGATGATGATGACTATTACAAAATATCATCTCCGTCAAACAAACAAACAAACTAACAAACTAACAAACAAACAAACGAACGAACAAACAACTAGACAAATATCGACAAACAAACAAACAAACCCTTGAGGGTGGTTGGCAGAGGCTCAGGTGTGGTTTGCTCCTTCTTTCCTATCAAACATCTATCTCCCTTATCTCTCCTCCTTCTTTGCTGTGTTTGTTACTCTCTTGTAACACCTCTAATCGTCGGTACCCGGTACTTGCAAATGCCGTAAATTTACTGAAGTGACCCACCACCACCACCACCAACAACAAAACAACAACAACAACAAATCCTTTGATGCCCTATATTTCGTGGGTGGTTGGCCGGTGCTCTCGTGTGGTGTGCTTCTTCTTTCCTATCAAACATGTATGGTCTTTATCTCCCCTTCATTTTTAAAAAATGTTTGTTACTCACTTGTAACACCTCTAATCTTCTGGTGCTCATATGACATTATGCATTTGCGAGCGCCGTAAAATCTCTAATAAAACAACCAATGTCCTGTATTTTCTACTGTACCAGGTGGAAGGTGGTGTGAAGCGAAATGTCAACCCAGTACCCTGTAGTCTATTTCCCGGAGATGTTTTGAGAAAAGGAGGGATCTTCGAGGCCACCTCTCGCATGACCGCTAAGAACAAGCTTTTCAAGTAAGTCTGTCTTCTCCTTCATGTCTCCTCTTTCTTTTCTCATCTCATCTTTCTCCTCACTCTCGCCCTTCTAACTCTCTTTCTCCGTCTGTGACTCTCTGTCTCTCTGTTCTCTCTCTCTCTCTCTCTCTCTCTCTCTCTCTCTCTCTCTCGTAT